ACCGAGGCCACTATAAATATAGTCTAGCCACCACCGTAGAAAGGGATCAGAGGATCGACTCACTGGGTGATCAGATCATGGAATCCCCAAGAGCTCATCACAAGAACATGCCTCCTGAGTTGTTCTTCCACTTGTACTAGTTCATCCTCAGCCCCTCGCGAGGCTAATCCACCACAAAGCAGGAGTAGGGTATTACACCACAAGGTGGCCCGAACCTGGGTAAACTGCCGTGTCTTTTGTCCTTCTTGTTCATCGAGCTAGGTCATGAGAGCAGCGGATCGATCGGCTTGAGAGGTTGAGTTCTTCGCACATGCCCCTGAGTTCGAACCTTTCATGAGTCTGTGGAGCCCGGAATCCGACAGAGAGTTTCACAATTCCAGTCTGGGACCAATTAATTCTCTTTTGAACGTCACATTCGGCGGAAAGGAATCCAGAACCGTCACAATAGTGTCACCCTTGTGACGCAAAATATTGTATAGAGCAAGATATTGTTCTCGGGGTGTAGCATTACCTAGCCATTTAGCCTCCCAGAATCTAATTTCCGGTTCGTCTTTAATAGCAAAAGTGTGAGTCCCCCGACTTCCAATATATTTGGGACACTGCTTTTGAGCCCACGTATTTTCTCATTAGGAGGGTTTGCCATACACCATTTTTCGTCAACAACCTAAATAACCATTTGCCAAGGAGGGTAGTATTTTTAACCTCAAGGTCATGAATACCCAACCCTCCTAGCAATTTCAACATAAAATGACTCTACAAAGTAATAAATAAAGCTCTCTATGTTACCACAACTATAACACTACCCACTATAAAAGGTAGCAATATAGATTAGTAATATATGTATGCTATTTTTGCGAAAGTATAAGATCTATTATAAAGATTCACCTGAAGTACAAAACACTCCAAACATAATAAATTGAGATCTATGGATAACCAAACGACCATTGCCGCCGTCAGTATGTTAGTAGTCTAAGTTACTCTCCACTGTGACTAGGCTAACCAATCCCTTCACTTTCACGCTGCAAAAATACGTGGGTCTACTGCGTGCTTAGCAAGTGCATGCCACAATCTTGAAAAAAGAGTGCATGCAGCATGGTGCCGCGTGGAATTAGAGCATCTACACCCGGACTTGGCAAATCCGATCCCTTATACGCCGCAGATGTGCCCAGACATGTTCGCGGATAGTGATCGGTCACGCATCAAAAAATGCATTTCACATCCAGATACCTCAAATTAGAAACCTCAAATCCATATTATTACATGTAATACTGCGATCTTTGATGGGAGCTTTGTCCGGTTTTGCTCCCGCACGCCCGGCTCCGTCCTGGCCATGTCCGGCGGCTGGCTGCACCCCTCATAGTGTTGGTCTGGTCGTCGACAAGGTAGGGTAGGGCATGGGACACGAGGCGGCTCAAGGGACTCAAAGGCACCATCGTCTCCCATGCCCTACTCTTCCTAATCGGAGACCGGAACCCGACTGGTGTCGATGGAGGTCAGATCAACGACGGATCCCTCTGGGGACGAGCCACCGACGTCCATCATGATGCGGTTGCGGCGCCCGCACTGATGCGTCATACGGGACGCCGGAGAATGTGACTCCGTCTCGCCGACGTTCGCCGCCGCGAGGGCTGCCACCGCCTCCTGCCCCCGGTGCCTTGCATGGTGTGCACGACGTGCCATGGCCTCATGCGACAATGGTGCATCCCAATATCGGCACGCCACGGGAGGGGTTGCGCGTCCGCCAGCGCGTCCGGATGCCAGACGGACCGTACGACCTCCGGCGAGGCATCTACGGCCGACCTAGTGCCGGATCCATGCACCATTTGGAAGGACGCAATGGATTCCCGATGGATGGAGTCCTCCCGGGCGCGCGGAGTGCAAGCTGGACGACCATCCCTCGCACGGGCCGCGTGAGATGAGCTCGGAGTCGACGGATCTGGAGGTCAAGGATTCGGATCCGCTGCCCGCCATGCCAGAGACGAACTTGGATGACGAAGGGGAGTGGAGAGGTGGGAAGTGAAGTGGCTAGGGTTTGGTCCGGCGAGCGGATGGGGAGGATTTTATGTGGGGTCGGGTGGGCCAGCGTGGGACGGCTCCGACGTGGCGGGCATGCCCAAGCGCGCCCGTGCGCCCCCATATCCGCCCCGTATTTGGGCTGAATATGGGGAGTGCCGGTCAGCCCGGGTGTTTGAGGGCCGTTTGAGGGGCCTGTCTGGATCAAAAAATCGTGACCGGACGGCCCGCCCAGACGTATGAGGCGGATTTGAGGCGCCCGGCTATAGATGCTCTTACGTGGCATTTTTTTAAACATTTTTTTCATTCAGATTTGCATCCACTACCTCCGTTTCTAAATATAAGTCTTTTTAATATAAACTACATATGAATGTATATAGAGATATTTTAGAGTGTAGGTTCATTCATTTTGCTCCTATATAGTCCCTTATTTGAATATGTAAAATGACTTATATTAGGATGGAGGGAGTACTTTTCTTTCGGGAGAGCATCTACGATTTTATATCTATACATAAATTTTCAATTCTAGATAACAGATGCATTTATCCTCTTATGCAGGACCGAACACGCTCAAACTCTTCTTGGGCCTGGTTGAGCCTCATGCGGACAACCTAACTGGCTCTCCATACTGTTTGCCGCCGCGGGCGGCAAATAGGATCAGCCAAACCGGCGCTCTCGCACGAAAACCCATCCCCAATCCAAATCCAAAACCCGTCTGCAAGGGTCGCATCCTACAGAGCCCTTCTCACGAGGGCCTTCCCGCAAATTTCGTCCTCCTTCTTCACTCCCTCGTCTCCGTTCCCCTTCGGCGATGGCCGCCGACGCCAACCACAGGAAGGGTTAGATCCCTTCCCCACTCGCCTCTTCCTCCTCTTCCGTCCGATCTCCGCTCACTCCTCTCGTGGCTCCCGATCCGCAGTCGTGGTGAACTTCCAGTCGGTCGCCAACGCGCCGAAGCTGCGGCAGTCCAAGTTCAAGGTGCGGGCACTTTTTTCTCGCCGTTGCTTGCCTCACGCGACCAGCAAGCTCAGAAATACGCCTCAGGTTACTATCCCGTGAGAGATCTCGCATTCACGCAGGTTGCTGGGCTGTCTTGCTTGGGCGATTTGAGCGGTAATTCTTGTCGGGGCCGATCAAATCGGCAGTTAGCTGCAACCACAGAACATTGATTATTTTGGGGGAAGAACGCAGCAGCGCCGTAGCCTAGAAGTAATGCCGTACTGGTCTGTTCTTTGCCCGGGGGCGGGGCCATCGTAGCAACGTGTCTTTGGTTGTAGCCAGCAGGAGAAAAAGATCGCTGTGATGGGGAAGGCATGCTTGGCTTTGCCTCGTCAAGTCTCTGGTTGATGAAGATGTCATCGCGCCAACAAGAAAATTGTGTATGCCAAAGACATCGGTATCTTGACCCTTACTATTGCTAATATGCTGTACATGTCCATGTCAGTTGTACTCGCCGAGAACCTTTCCTCACTCCCCACTTGGATGCATCGATAGCTCTCAGTACTTGCAACTTTCTGGACATACACTATTACAAAATTTACAAATATATGCACTAGGGATGATGTTTTCTTCTAGAAGGAAGTCATTTTTCTGAAAACAAAAACTTGATGTAATTCGACAATGTCGCCTGAAGACCTATCCTAACAGATTATTTTTGTGGATTTTTGTAGCTTTTCACATTTGAGCTTGCCTCCCCTTGTGTGAAACTTATGTTTGTGCCCTGTAGCCTGTGGAGGGTAGCAGTATTAAATTTTAGAATCCACCATAGCTCTAGATACATCAGTATCTGTTAGTTTTACAGATACTAGCCTTTGTGTTCAAGTTATGGATGGCCCTGGTTTCACGAGTAAATAGTATGCCCTGAAGTCCATCATCTAATGGAATTATATGCATATTTCTTATTTCAGTAAGGAAATGAATCAATATATGCTAGTAATAATGAAGTAGTACTTTGTTATGGCTCATGCAATTTGAACATCAAATTAGACAGACTGTGCTTCCAGTCAGTGCCTTCGTGGTTGGTAATCTTTCTTTTCTAACCTCCTTGTACTCTTTCAGATTGGTGGAAACGAGAAATTTGCGAGGGTGATTGAATTTCTTCGCTGCCAAATTCACCAGGACACAGTGGTAAGAACGCGGTTTATAATTCATCTGGAGTGGATCATAGTGTCAACATACATGGAAATAATATCGATAGCCTCTCTATGTTTTGCCAACAGTTTCTCTACGTGAATAGTGCATTTTCCCCGAATCCAGACGAGTTGATATCTGATTTATACAATGTAAGATCCAATACTCTCACTACTTTTATATGCCCTCTTCAGTCTTAAATGCCTGAAATGCATTGTCAAACAAGTAGCCTTCAGCTATTCTGATTGTTTATAGGCTTTGAGAGAAGTACAAAAACATTATGCTGGTAAAATTTGCATTCCATTCTTTTTGCTAGTCGATTAGACAATCTAAGCACTAGCACGGATCATTCAGCCACCTAATCTTATTGTAGCAGCAATTGAAATTCGATATATGCCACAGGGCTCACTACTCGGATTAACACTTTCCAAACTAAATAGCTGGGCATCGACAGCGACAATCAGCGGATGAAGGAGTGGATGAAAAGGGTACCTGAGTGCTTGCATGCCTGGATCAGCCCAATCCCTATTAGTGAGTGATCAAGCAAGGTCAAAAAGAAGAGCAAGCCCACGGCTAGGCATAGTATCAAGAGATTGCTCGCCCGTCGCATGCCTAACGAATCCAGAGAAACAAGAAAAGCATGACCAATTGAAGGGGTCGACTGCCCAAGGAGAGTAAAATAATGACTAATGGTGGTTAAACATGTTGCACGGCAGAACTTTGGGATCGACGGGCAGCTGGTGGTCAATTACGCATCATCCATGGCATGGGGGTAAAAGGTGAACTTGCTTGAAATCAGCTTGAGCAAACACAGGAAACCCTTTTATTTCCAAAATTAACTTTTCACGGCACTGCTAATGGATGTAAAGCACTGCAAATTGAGTTTCAAAAGGAAGCTCTTTCGTTCACATGATATTCAGCATGATGGCAAAAGCAAGATCGTTTTCCACATTCTTTCCATCTGCATTAAAAACCCAAGACGTCTTTTCTTCCTGGTAGCGACAATGCTCTGCTGTTCTACGGCCACCATTGCTGGAAACAAATTAAATTGTTTTGTCTTTAGCGAGATGCTTACTTCAATTTTCTTCTCTTCCCTGGAATCTACCATCTTTCTTCATCTTTGATCGTGCCACTAAGACAGTCACCAGTTGTTGAGCACGTCAAACCGAGCTTCAAGCGAAAGCTCTTTCGTGCACCTTGATGTCCAATGCAGTGGCAATAACAAAAGATCATTTTCCGCATCCTCCATCTGGCAGTGAAAACCCGTCTTCATGATCCTGGTAGCCATCGTCGACAGTGCTGTGATGTTTCTTTCTTTGGCTGCTGCCCTGCAGCAAGATGCTTACCTGTTAACCTTTCTTCCGAGGATTGCGTTGTCCTCTTCCTTTTAACAATTACTGTTATGGTCATGTCATTAAGAAGGCTTTCATTTTCCAGTTACTGTCATGGTCATGTCATTAAGACGACTTTCATTATGAAGGTAGCAGTGAGCTAGTACAAGTGTGCATGTTCCATATTAAGGTGGTTTCGTACACTTGTTCATGAGTAGCAGCTAGTGGACTAGCTTACGGTAAACCGGGCAGTGTTGCACTTGTTTCGGCAGAATAGGAACCCACGTTGATGCCGCTGTGTCCATCTATTCAGGGCTGCTAACATTGTAGGGGTCCGTTCCACTCTCGTGCTGGCACAACATATTCAGTTGTATGGGATGCAGTTGCTCTGGTGACGTGTTGCGAGCATCAGCGTGTGTATCTTTCAAGAGTTTCAGCAATGGGCGTTGGCAAGGGTAGGAGGGATAGATTTCCATTTTCCGGTAGTCTTTTTTCCACTCTAATTTTTTGTATCTACTAGTATTTGTCCTTGTCGACAAGAGAGAGCTTCTGTATCTTATGTGCTTGCTTGCCTTTCACAAAAAAAGGGTACGCCTTTTGCGTACTCGAAAAGCAAACCAGCTAAAACTTTGAGATGTAGCAGCAGCAGAGGCATTCACTGCAAAGGTTGTTTCTGTGCAGCTGCAAATCGATAGTCTATGAAGATCTGAAAATACCGTGTCAAACGCACATGTACCGTCCGCCATGTACTGTTCGCCATGCCAATCCACGTGCTCATGACCATCGCCTTAAACAAGAGCATCCTAGCGAGGTTCAACCGCGTCATCCGCTGCTTTCTTTGGGCGGGCAGGAAGGATGCAAATGGTGGCAACTGGCAACTGCCTTATGAACTGGCAGCGTGTTTGCTGGCCGATCGAGCTTGGCGGCATGGGAGTGTGTGACCTGCCGCGCACTGGCGTTGCTCTTCGCACGCGCTGGATTTGGCGCCAAAAGAATGCCGAGTTTCGCGCCTCTACGACTTGGGAGACGGGGAGCGGCATATCATGTAAATTCTGGGATGATCATTGGATCGACGGCGAGCCGATTTCGGAGATCGCGCGCCTGGTCCTAGCCATGGTGCCCGACATCACCGCAAGCATCACATGGTTGCTGAGGGGCTAAACCAATGCGCCTGGGTACAAGACATCCACATTGCTCTTGGACCCGCGGCAACGTTGCAATACATCGAGCTATGGCGCCAGCTTCAATTCTTCCAACTACCCCCCGAAGAGCTGCACTGGAGATGGACCAATTCTGGCGCCACTCGCAAGATCTTGCTACCTCATCCGCTTCCACGGCTCCATCCCCGACCTCAACTGGCGGCTAACATAGCGTACCTGGGCTCCGCTGCGCATAAAGGTGTTCATGCAGTTTGCCCTCTTGGGCAGATGTTGGGCGGCAGATCGCTTGGTGTGCTGCGGGCTGTCTCATGCCGATGTCTGTGTGCTCTTCGACCAGGTGTCGGAATCCATGAAGCACCAACTTGCGGGTTGTTCTTTCTCGCAATAGGTATGGCACGAGGTCTTGTCATGGTGCCGTTCCACTACAACCCCTCCCTACCCTACTTCCGGCTTCAAGGAATGGTGGCGATCTTTATACTCGGCCATGCCGGCAACTCTTCGAAACAGCTTTCCCTCTATCTCGATGCTCTGCGCCTGGTGCCTCCGGAAGCACATGAACGAGGCCATCTTCAACAGCCAGACGCGGTCGGTCTCCCAGCTAGTATCCACCATCAAGGAAGAAGCGTCCACTTGGGCACACGGCCACACGCCGGCACCACCAGAATGGCCTACATATTACATGTAACTTAATATGTGGATTAGGTTCGGCTAAGCAACCCCATTCCGCCTGAGGATCGCCTGACGCCACTCTTTGCTTGAGTTGTGCTATACACACGATAAATTTTGCACGATAGATAGACGAAAATGGAATCCAGCCGACATGCATTTGACTGAGAACAACATTAGCCGCTGGATTTGCACGTCATGCACAGGTCGGGCATAAATATCGTGAGTGAAGCTGTTTCATAATTGCTTCTCGACTTCTTCTATCAATGAAAGATACGCAATCTTTGGGTACCCGTGAAACGCACATGTACTGGTTCTAAAAGTTCTGATTTTTTTTTCTTTAAAAAGTACGAGTACTGTTAAGGGTGGGGGTATTTGGGGTGGGGTTTTAAACAATGCAGTGCTATATTGAGACAAGTCGGCACCAACTACACTATTCGAATCCCTATTGTACTACTTTTATTCTAGAATAAAAAATGTACTTCTGCACGTGACATGGCCTGCACACCGATGTTGCACTTGTATGGCGTACAATGGAACGAAGATCCCTGTCAGTGATGGCAGATAGCTACAATGGTGACCCAAACCACATGTGCACGTGCTTATCACCATTAAGCAATTGTCCCCGGGGTCGCTTTCAACTCCAACGTGCCCCTGCAAATATAGCATCAAAGAAAAGTATACTCGGCTCCGTAAAATATCTTATATTTCACCTAAAAGAATCTTATATTTGCAATTGTAGAGAGTGTAGAGGGTTTTTAAGGGAGCAATAAGAATGTTGGGGAGATTAAGCGGCTTCTTCAGAGTTAGCATCAGGTTCAAATTGAGGAAGCTAGGAGGTTATCCAGCCAACTATCGGTGACATGCAATGTGCAAGCTGACTTGGCACAAAAACGAGCCGAAAACTAAGCAGTTTTCGTCGTGACTTTTTTGAATCATCGAAGCCTTGCAAAGAGGACATCTCTTTCCGGAGGGACATGGCTTCAGCCAGGGGATCAGTAACATCAGCAAGAGGTTTACTCCATGCGCCCAAAAACACTGTAGTTGATATTGCAACGCCACCAGCAGCTCCTTTTTCGTGACCAAAATTGATGGCACCATCAATATTAATCATGATGTATTCCACGTCAGGAGGGTGTCACCCATGGCCCGGCAACCACTCCTTACTAGTATCGGGCTGACTTATGAAGGTTTTACGACTCTGTAACAATCTTGCAAATCTGGCTGAGTAATGAATCATGGTTTTACCCGCAACTAACAGAATAGTCCACTACGTGTCTTTTATCTATATCACTATATAGTACTCCCTCCGTCCCGAAATAAGTGTCTTAACTTTGTACTAACTTATTTTGGGACCGAGGGAGTATTAGAATAACATTGAATGTTGGTTGTGGGATGAAACCGATCCAACAGTTGACAGGTGGAAAATTTGTGTAGTATTGGTTGCTAGATATTCTCTTCACTATATCAGTTTCTGCCACGTATATTATCTAGAAGATTCTAGCTGAGCTTAGCCACATTCATAATATGCACAAATCTCAAAACAAAGACACTTCTCATTTGTTCTAGATTCTTCCATACTTTAATTCTCTAATATTTTTGGTAAGAGAATTGTCATCCTTTTTTATATCATTTACATTACCCAATATGCACAAAAGACAACCACTTATCATTTGTTCTAGACTCTTCTCCCAGATTTTTTCTTACAAAAGAATTGACATGTATTTCTTACTTTATAATTTTTGTTTGTTTTGGTTCAATGATATGGCAACATCTTCCTAAAGCTCACTTGCCTTTGTATATTGAGTATTTAGCTATTCTTATGTATTCACACTTGTTTTGTATAGTATATACCAGAAAGTCGTCGAATATGTTGTAGTCATAATTTGATTTTTAATGGGAATGGCATGGAGGCTTAAACCTAAATATTATATTTGATCCATATGTGATTCAAAATTTATATGTTTGCCACTATTACATGGTAAATCAGTGTTCGGTCACACTTACTATAACGTGCAAGGCACATGTAATTTACTAGTTTTATATAAAGCCTCAACCCAAATTTTACACACTTACGGGATTAATTGGACGGTAACCAATCTATTTTGATAAACCCAAACTTTTTTTCTTTAGCATACGACTTATTTGATCGACTGAAAGGTTCTCATTTTCATTCTTTCCCTATCGATGTCAATGTCGGCAACTTGATAGTTAACTATAGCTTTGTAAGTAAGTGGGTGTGGCATTGCCTTTGCATTCCGTCCCCTTCGTCTATCTTCATGACTCGTCACGCAAGGGAAGCAAGGCTTTATTATGTTTGAGATGCTTTATAATTCCGGTGAACTTTTATAATAGATCTGATGCTTCTCGCAAAAAAAGCCTTGTAAATGAGTGGGCGTGCCATTGCCTTTGCGTTCCACCCCCTTTGTCCATCTCCGCGACGCAAGGGTACCAGGGCACATCATCTGCAATATTGCAGTCGAAAGGATCGATATAGTTGACTAGAGGGGGGGTGAATAGGTAACTAACAATTTTTAGCTTTTCTTTACCAAATTAAACTTTGCATCAAAAGGGTTGTCTAGATATGCAACTAGGTGAGCAACATATATGATGCAACAACAACAAGCACACAAGCAAGCAAGAGATGCAACACAAATATAAGCTTGAACAAGTAAAGGTGAGAGATAACCACAAGGGGAACCGATGGAGACGAGGATGTGTTACCGAAGTTCCTTCCTTTTGAGGGGAAGTATGTCTCCATTAGAGCGGTGTGGAGGCAGGCACAATGCTCCTCAAGAAGCCACTAGGGCCACCGTATTCTCCTCATGCCCTCACACAATGCGAGATGTCGTGATTCCACTATTGGTGTCCTTGGAGGCGGCAACCGGACCTTTACAAACAAGGTTGAGGCTCTCTCCACAACTTAATTGGAGGCTCCCAACGAAACCCCGGAGCTTCACCATAATG